ATAGGGTGACCAGACATCCCGTTTTTCCCGGGACAGTCCCTTATTTCAGCTCTTTTTTTTAATGTCCCGACTTATTTTGAAAAAATCATGTTTTGTCCCATATTTAAACATTTATTTACGACTGGGTGATCAGAGCGAGTAGTAGAAGTGTTCTGTCACACGAGAACAGCCTAATCAAAGGTAAGTATGTTTGTCGTAGAGCCAAATTACCATCCAATCACAATTCGTTATCGATTAACTTGGAGTAAGTGAAGGCGGGATAGATAGGCACACAGAAGTGCTGTCTCGGCCGCGATCCCAGTTCTGCAATCAGTTCTGCCTGTGCCTTAAAGGGGTCATATGATGCAATTTCAATTTTTCCTTTCTCTTTGGAGTGTTACAAGCTCTTGGTGCATAAAGAAGATCTGTAAAGTTGCAAAGACTAAAGTCTCAAATCCAAAGAGATATTCTTTATAAAAGTTAAGTCAACCACACCTACCTAAAACGCCTCGTTCTAACACGACCCACATATCTACGTCACTATGTGGGAAGATTTGCATGACGCCGCCCAAATGTTCATGCAAAGAAAGAAGGCGTAACTTTTATTCTCACTGTAGTTTTGTTGTTTCCGCCGCAATGTCGTAAAGATGCTGTGTGCTTCGTTGTAAAAGCGAAACTACTTTGTTTGGTCTTCCAAAAGAGGACGATATCTGCTTCATCATGCCTGGAGCTGATCCGTGCTGGTTGCTGAGGAAATACTACAACTTTGCGCTGTGGATCGCCGGATCGGCTTTCACAGTGGACGAAGCGGAGTCCAGCCCGGAATCGTCACATGTCCTACCGGACGCTCCTTTGTCGAAATCGCCGGCCGCGCAGTTCTCAAGCCCACCTGCCTCTGCTCACTCTAACCCTCCGGCCGTTCGTCACGCTAGCCCCCGGCCTCTGCTCACTGTAGGCCCCCGTGTGTGACGCTGTTTTGTTGTGAAAGCGAAAGTACTTTGTTTGGCCTTCCAAAAATGGACACGACTAGAAATCAGTGGTTAAGTTGTATTTACAACACTGTTCCAGAACACTTCAACCCAAATATTCAGATGTGTGCAGCACATTTTATGGAGGACCGTTTCCTGA